AAATTATGAACTGGAGAGCCTAAGGGCTAAGTGATAATTTTAGATTTTGATGTCTTAATCAAAATTTAGGATTAATTAAGGGGAAAATAAATAATCTTGATCATAATGAACTCTTTTTTATGTTTGAAACATACTGGGTTATGAGGTAGAAACCAATTTGCCACATTTTCATGATAAGAGTAAAATTATAATTTCATAAATTATCATGACTTGGAAGTTAATCTAATTGTATGATTCTAAAGTTATGGAATTAAGTTAGAAAGATAGTAACTCACTTATTTTAAGCCTCTAATTGGTGATAACATTATCTTTTGATATGAATATATTCCACTTAAGTTAATATTTTGATAATTGCAAATTTACCTATGAAATTGTTAAGGGCTTGATAGTGAGTTAGGCTTGATATTTGAACTTCTGTAATGAGGTTTCGAAAAGTTAATATAACTGATAATTATCACTTTTAAACTCTACAAGCCCAACTTTAGTGGTGGGTATAAAATCTTTAATGAGTTAAACTCGGCTTAGGGGCATCTGCTTACATAACTCTTAAGTAAAATATCAACAGATTAATTGAGTACCCTATTTTTTTGATAATTAAAATACCAGGTTCACTGAACATAAGATGTATTAATTGATTGAAACTAAATTTAAAACTTGGGATGATCAATTGAACAATATAATAGGTTTAAATGAACTCGAAACATTTCAAAAGAATTTTTTCAAAAGAATTTAAAGGAGAATTTAAAGGTTGTTAGGGATTGCTCCCCAAACACTTTTATTACCTTTTAGATATTTTGAAGGACAATTGGATTTATTATACTTTGTTCCAGAAAATCATCCATTAAAATCTTGAAGGACTCACCAAGTTATGACTTAGGATTTGGTAGCTACACCTTCATCTACCCTTGCAATTTATTTAAATTCCCTTCAAAATTATATATACATGTTGCAAGTTTTAACATTTCAGCGGATGCAGCGAGAAGATGACAAATACGCATTTACATTTTGTAATGCAAATTTTGTTTCCTTTACAACACTTTCTTATATGTACCTGTTTACTTTGGTCTGCAAAACTTGAAACAAATTTGAATGTGACTTCAAAACAAAAATAACTTTTCTAAAATCAATCAAGTTTTCAAAATTAAACAAGATTTTCATAACAAATAAAAATAACAATAATTTCATAACACGTCCTTTTAAATTTATAGGAGTTCCTCGGATGGGTAAACCACGGTTGCTAACGAGATCTCCCCGGATTAATTGGGTTTAACAACTCGTTTAAGCTAAGTAAATTCAAAAGGAAAATGAGGTACCGGAACGAGGGAATCGTGGGATCCTAACCGGTGTTGCCCTAATAAACTTTAACCCTTCCCCATAATGATTGAACTTAAACTTGTCATTTAAACCTTTAAACATTTAGTATTTAGGACTGCTATTTCTCCGAGGAGTTTGGAGCTAACTCTGTGGGCAGCCTTCTACAACAGCACGAGGATCTACAACAACAAATCCTTTTCTAAGGTTAAACAACAAGCCATAGGACTTCGAGGTTGTTTTCCTAGTGCGGTATATATCTTCAATTTTATCTTTAGGTCTTTGCACAATCATGTTGTGCAATTTAAGTCATAACTTGTTTTAGGATCCTCATATTTTTTAGGCTATTTGTGCGATTATCTCACACAAATGTAAGCCCTAACTAAATAAAATTCATAGGATGAAACATTCGATAATTTTCTCACCAAAATTGAAGCCAAACTATGGGGTAGCTTGGGAAGTCACTGAGGTTCTCCTCAGGATTCGTGACGACCCCTAGTTTCTCTTCCTTTGAATTTCATAATAAGTGTTCAAAATTTGAGCCTCTCCCATTTGACAATCATTGGTCCGATCTTTGAAAATTTCTATCCTTTAAAATTTTTAGAGAATATTTTCTGATCTAAATTGAGAGTTTTCTTAAGTGACTTCGGTCATTTAAGATGTAATTGACTATAAGGGTTTGCCTCTATAAGAAGCTTTAAGAACCTATGTAATATAAACCCTATGTAATCTTTCATATTAGCTAGAGGAAATTTGTCGAGTTATATAAATGGTTCGTAGACCGAACGGATGCATAAATTCTGTAGTTTATTTAATTGAGTCTCACTATCAAGTGATGTGTCTATTCATCGGAATAAGTGTATTACTTGTGGTGTTTTGTTCGTTTATTTAAACTATTGTCTATATGAGATCGATTTGGTCTCATATTTTCAAAATTAAAATATTACATTTTTTAAAATTAAATATACTAGTTTTTCTAAAAATCAAATTTATATATATTATTAAATTAAATTAAAACCACATAATCAAATAAAAGCTAGCCGACACTTCACAGTGGAAAACTCGCGATTTCACGTCCTTTGCACGGGCGAGCTTTTCTGTGTGCGTGTGCTTTTTGGCTTCCTCCTCACATGAGCTCTCTCATATGCTAGCCGTTTGAAGCTTCCTTCTCCGCTCTATAAAGACGCCACCTCTGCCCTACCCTCACCTCGTCCTGCTCTTCTTTGCATGCTGCTGACCCACAGGTAAGTTGATTTATATTGGTGAAATCACCTCCTAAACTCCCAATCTCTCCTTTCTTATCGCTCTGTTTGGCTACCCGACCATTGACTTTGTCTTCCCTGCTTCTTCGTTTCCTCTTCCATCTGTTTGCTTTCTCTTTTTCAGTTCTTCCTTTTTTCTCCCCTAAACTGAAACGAGTCGTTACAACATACACATCTGTCTTTTTGTTGATCACCATCATTAAACATGAGAACATAATATCAAACTTTTAGATTCAATCGATTTCCCTTAATTGAATTATTCTTGTTAGCATATGATTAATTTAGTTGAATTTATGGGGCTGTCCTAAGACTAGCTTCCGCAAGCTCGCCACCAAGTGTAAATAACTTGAACTTCGTAAATATCTTAGGATTTTATGAAATTTTGACTCATCATGATTTAACAAAAACATAACTCATTTGCCGAAACATATCTTAAACGACTTTACGACAAAACCCAACATTCTTCGATCCTGCCAAATTCTTTTCCCTCCTTTTTATTTTTGCTTACTCCTCATTTAACCTGGTTGATTTCGTGCTAAAAGCCCTTATGGAATCCCACAAACCAACTTTTGTGCTACTGACACAACCCCGTATCCACCACGGTGATCGGAAACCAAAAGATGCACAATGCGTGCCAAATCTCAATATGGAAACTGGAGGAAGGAAATGAATGTCTCGAATAGCATGAAAGAGGGTTTCATACCATTATATTTTGTTCCCAAAACCTAAACTGAGTTGCGGCACTCGCCAGGTCGCGACTGTGCTGCGATCGTGTCTGTGCTACAGTGCCACGAGTGTAGCCTTTCGCGGAAGTCTTTTGTCAAGCGCTACCATGAATAGGGATAGGGGGAGGAAGAAATGCGATTGTTCTGGATTGAGAATCTCACTGTTTTTATGCCATACAGAGGTCATTATCGCGTGTTAAGCCGGTGGGAACAGTAAAACATGATCAGGAAGGTTATTAAAGTTTAATTAAACTTATAATTTCAGTTTTTTATATTCTTAGTCAATTCATAATTTGTAGTGTTTTATATTGATTTGATTGGTTTAATATGTAGAAGTTTATAAAATTGCTACCGTTGAAATCTGAGGGATGCGAAAATTGAGGTACATTTTAGAGTTGCCAAAATTTTAGTTGATTTTACAAAACTTATTAATACACTGTTTTTGAAATAATCAGAAATATGTTGAATATGTTCTATGAGGCTGGATTCTTTCTAAATTCTCAGATTAAGTGAACATTGATTTTGTGTTATTTTTTGTTTTATGAAGATGAATGCTCTCAGTTGCACGGAAATGCACATAAGTTTCTTTTCATAGCTTATATAGTAAAGTTTGAACTTCAAAACAAGGAGCTTGCTTGTTCTCAAATGCACATAGGTACCTATTAATGTATATATTTGTACATCTCTTTTACCTTGCTTTCCCAGTATTTAGCCAGGTCATGAGCTAGATCTTTTAAACTGCGATCTAGTACATAACTATCAGAATTTTAGGCAACTGGATGCTGTATTATTGTTGACATTAGAATTTATTTGTATTTTTTAAGTAAAAATGCGGTGTATTCTGACGTGTACAAAACTATGTCACACTACATTGGCTTCCTTTTGTTATCAAAATTTCAAGGACAAACCCACTATGAATCATATTTATGGCGTTCTTGTTGCAGTTCTGGTTACTGAGATTGGTCTTCTACCCATTTTGCATGTTTCTTCAACCATTGGAGTGTTTTTATATTAATTCATTCATTTGCTATTTTTAATTTATATAATTGGTAATGATCTTATTGTTGCTTAAAACAATTGATTCCTGGTCTTTCTTTTGCCTTCTATTTTGTTTTCTCATGTTAGGTTGACATTCTTAATTTTTGAAATATGATTTTCTAATGAAAAAATGAAAAATAAATGCCAAAACCATATGAGCTTTTTCTCACACATAGAGGTTTGTTGACTTGTCTGGATTGGATGGTTTTTACGTATTGGAAGCTAAACATGCAGAACCTTCATATCACTGAGGGATGCAAATGGCATCTTTCAATAACTATGGGCCGAATCAGAGGAAATTAATGCCTCTGTTTGTGAAAATTTCTGCTGATTTTGTTTTCGAAACCTGGCATATCATATTTCTTATGCCGGAAAATGTGATAGAAAATGCTATGCTCCACCTTTTTATAACCTTGTGCGGATTTTCTTATTTTTGCACCAAACAACTTAACGCAGGATTAACACAACATCATCGAAAGAAACCAAAGTACAGATCGTTTGTGCATTTTTAGTTGTTAACTTGCTTTCCGCACGTACTTTTATTAGGCCCAAGTCAAAATTTCTAGCATGTGGCATGCTCTTTATTGTCTTTTGGCATATGGTTTTCTCTTTTTTATTAAATTCATACACAAAACCCTAAGCTAGTTTTTGTTTTTTTTTGCAGTCTGTGAGAGTAGCTTCGGGAGTCGTTTTGGCTGGAGTAATGTTTGCCATGTTGTCATTTAGAAAAGGTTAGAATCTGTAGCTCTAAGTGCTAGATATTTTACAAGTGACCAGCTTTTATCTTTAGATGAAAGCCCTCTTGAAAGCTCTGTTATTTAGTACATGTTCAAGGGTCAATACACTTGCATACCGAATGGTATGTTTTAAAAATGGATGATAATGGTGTCACGATATCTCACTTAGCAACTTTTGATCATTAGATGATCTTTTTTTTCTTTGCCCCCAAGACTTCCATATGCAGCTAGTTTGGTGATTTCCTGGTGTTATAATCTTATTTTTTTCATTCGTGGACATATGTGGTGTGCCTGTGCTGTTGAACGTCTTTCCTTCTTATTTTGCTTCATAAACCAAATTAGAAGGCTCATTTGTGAGAAACCAGGTTTCTTGATGGCTAATTCATGGAGACCATGCATTAGTAATTTCAGTCATTTGTACGAAAAATATGTATGGCTGTATTGCATGCTGTCATTAGCCTGCAATACATCAGCCAACTAGAATGATATTCATCATATTTGGACTAAATGCAGCAAGAAACTTGCAACTTAAATTCTGGAGGTGTCATAGTGGTTAGCTTTTCTTGATTGAGCTTAGCTTCATTTTTGGAAGCGAAAGCCAGTGGGGTTTGCTTTGTTGAGAGTATTGATAAATGGGTAATGCAAGAGATTGGGAAGGCTAGAGGATTGTGAGCTCCGAAAAGGCTCATCTGGCTCTGCGAAGAGAGTGTGGTTCGAGGTCAAATTTTTAGAAGATATTTTATTTAGATAAGACACTATCAAAAGATTTCACTCTCATTTTATCCATATTTTATGATTTGATTTCATGTTTTTCATAGGCACTTGTCTCTATAGTTAATCATCTCTTTTAATCACGGGAGAGTTTTTTTTTTAAATTCTAGTCCTTATTTGCTCAGTAATTAGCATATAGTTGCAATAATTTGATTTTAATTTGTGAAAATTCATTGTCGTTAGCTTTAGAGTGAATAGTGTGAGGAATGATGATGAACTTAATCAAGATCTCATGATTTTGTAGTCTTGGATTATCATGGACCTTAGTCTATTTAAAGGATGCAGTAATCAAACCTGACCAAGGGATCATTACTAGCTGCCCTAGGTTGCATCGTCTAAGGGGACCAACTGACTTGGGGTCGATATTTGTCTGAGAGGATAATCTTAAGTTGACATTAGCTAATAGATGTTTTTGTGCCTAATCAGGTACATCTATAGTTCACAACTCAGGTTGTTGGGAACTTATGGTTTCTAGCCACAATTGTAATCTAATGGTGTTATTTTGTGGCAAATCACTGATCAAAAAGCCTTGATTATAATCATCCTTTTTGTGATTCTATTTAATAACAAATCCATCTTGTTAAATGACACATGCAAAGTCGTTACTAGCATGAGATTTTTGTGAGTGACTATAAAGATATATTTATCATTATGTTAGTTTTTTGTAAGCTGATATTATATTAAAATTTTCACTCAGTAAAATATTGTGAAGGCTGGATGAATTATTTTATTAAATTTGGGACAATACATTTCACATGAAAACATTTTAAATTTGTGATTTTCTTGACTTATTATATTTTATTACATTTAAGCTTGAAATAATCCACATTGAAACTTGAGACATTTTATTAAAAGTATATTCTTCAGTTGAAATGTTTTATCAACGTGATCATCATCGGAGGATTTAAATGATTTTGTTTTATTATTTTGGACTTTGTTGACTCCATTTGCCTGCTTATAGATGATTGAGTTTGTGTTTTTCTTATGGTTTGAATTTATTTTCAAAATTCATGACATTACAGACTCTCATTTCTGTCTTTGTACTTAGGCTATCGTGTCCTTAAGTTAAAACTCATAATTGTACTTTGCGAGTGTGATAGTGGCAAGAGTATTCATTATATAATGAATTTTCTTCATGAAAGGCCTTGAAAGTTGTATGTAAATAAAAAAATAAAATATTTTTAATGAATTTTGCTGTTGAATATTAGATGATGAGTTTATTATATTGTAGGTTGAGGATTCAAAATTAATTTTTAATACAAGCCTAATCAACTCCAACACTTATGACATGGAGGATCGAATTTGCAAAGTCAGACTTAGAACCCTACCTGTAGGTAGGGTTGCATGTATAAGAACGTGCATATAATATGTTGAATGAGAATTAATAAATTTTGAAACAAAGTGCACATCCTTTAGAGTTATTGCAGGTTTGAGATGCGGGATAAAATTTGAATTCATCTCATTTTTAATTTTCTTAGCTTTTTTTTATTTAAATTCATAAATTTGTCACATTTGTCAAAGCGTATGCAGATATTTTTATTTTTAATGAATTGAACGTTGTTTAAAGAACATGCATGTTTTTCAAGGTACCAGCATAACATTTTTGGCAGCATGTTATATTTTGTTATTAGAATGTATGAATCATTTCACTTTGAATTTTTGAAGCCCAAAATTTATCAGCTTGTTCATATTATTGGTCATTGTTATGAATTATAGTTTTTTAATGTGTTTGATAAAATGTCATATTTTCATCCTTGTATATTCCTATTTTACACCAGTGTGCCTCATAAAGCATCATTCCACCTATAAATAGGAGGGGTAACCTTACTCATTTCACCATTCCAGTTTGCGTATTCCATTGCATGGGTTCTTGAAGATTTTGATAGGTCATGGGAGGTGATTCTGTTGACTTTTTGGCGAACTTTTATGTCTGTAGCAAGTATCCTATAAGTTTTGGTTTTGTCTTCAAACTTTATCATTAGTTTGCAATTTTATCTCATTTACTGATTTTTGTAATGTTATAGTAAGTGATACCCAATATTTAGAAAATCAGGTAAAATTCGATAAATTCAGTAGTGTCTCAAATTTCACAACCCTTAAAATTCAACTAAATTATTTTTATAAAATTCTACGCATCGAACCCATCAATTTGATCTAAACTACTATATATTAATTATGTTTTGATTGAGAGATAAAATTTGAAAGTCATGTGTAACTAATTTAATTAAACTTTAATTATATTACTTATCTCCTGGATATCACTGTTCACCTTTGACCTTTTTAGCACCTTACATGCAATTGCTCGATTCAATTGAACAGCTGAGATCTAAGTGTCATTACGTTAATAGACGCATCCTCTTCTCCTTTGTCCCGCATTCTCCTTCACGCGAATAGGCAACGACTTGGCTCCTGTAGTAGAGTCGCGAACTAACACACATGTGACCCGCTGAATGGCGTGGGCTACTATTTATGGCTCTAGTGGGAAAACAAAAAGTACAAAACTCACATTAGTGATATTCTAGATATTCATGCTCTTCCTCCCACTTACAGTTTGACATTTGCCACGAATTTGTGCAACTTTTCTTTTCTGGTAGTCGTGGCAAGCATCGAATTTGTGTTCGAAGCGTCGAACTTGGTTTGCAAGCTTTCATAAGGGCTTTAACATGAAATCAGTGAATGGGAATGGAAATGGTGGTTTGATAGGAAGAAGAGGAGAAAAGTTTATGTAATAACATAAATAAATAAAATAAATAAATAATATTAAATATAAATGATAATAATAAATTTGAATGAGCATTAAGATAAGAACCCATTCAGTTATGACTTAAGAGTCATATTACCCATTCGAACCAAAGAAACGAGTGGGAGAGCAGAGAGATTGCAAGAGGGAAGTCTCTCTTGTGCGTGTGGAAGTCTTGACTTCGTGCGCCAGTATTCTGCGAAGGAGAGGAAAGGAAAAAAAAAGAAGAAAAAGAAGTTTGTGTGTCTCTTACCTGGCTCGACTATACATGTTTTATACAATAGTTTTGATTTTTTACAATTTCTATTTTTTTCATATTTTATATGATTCTAGCATGTTGTGGCTTGTTTAGACATGTACAGTGTCATATGAGCATGCACGTTGTTTATTTTTAGTATGTAAATTATTATTTTAGTTTTGGTTATTTCGTTGAACTTGTTGTTGCTCATTTTACGTCATTGCCTTTCAAGAAGGGGAAATGAGCACCAGGGTGAGTAGCTATGTGTGATTTATATAGCTTTTGTACAATATAGTCTTGCGATATTATATTGTTCTTTGGGTGTGTATTTTCTTAGGTTGGATTTAATAGTTCTGTATACTTGTTGATGATATGATTTTTCACTTTTTCGATTATGAATATGAATAAAATAGGAACCGAAATATATCACGTATATTTGTGACAATTTAGTTAGACTATTTCATCACTTACTGAGTCATGATTCTGTAAGTCAGTACGAGTATTTGAGAGAATTTAATTTAACCAAATTGTTAGGATGTGACAAAGTAGTATCGGAGCATGGTTCTTGGTTGAAGAGAATGATGTAAGTGTGTTGAATTTGGAAAAATTAGGAATGAGATTAATTATGAATTGATTCATACATAACTATATGTTGATTAATCTAGGGTATGTAGTCCATATGGCTTAAAATAATATACATGCACGATATAATTATTATATGATAAATTATATTTGAATAATAATCATTGCCCATATAGATAAATATGTCTAAAGGAGAATCAAAAAATGTTGAGGGCCGGTATCATAGGCCAAGTGCTGAACAAGAAGTATAATTTGAAAATTTTTTTGGGTAGAAGTGATAGTCAGAATAGAGCAAATGTGGAAACCATAGCAGCTGAGCTATAGGACATCGTTCAATTGATATCGTTGGTGGTTATTGATGAAATGACAACTATTGAAAGATTCTCCACTAGTAGAGGGTTCGAATATGAAATTGGTGCAGAAGTAGATCTACTCTTGAAGATATTTTAGACATTCAAGTCACCGACATTCAAGGGTGTCAGTGATCTTACATTTGCTGAAGATTGACTAATGAAGCTCGGAAATATTCTGGATGTCATGATTTGCCCGAAAAATCAGAGTGGTGTTGGCCACTTTCATTCTAGAAGGTGAAATAGAGAGATGATGACAAGCTACATAGAGAAAAATTCCAACTGACACCTCTTCTGCAAATTTAGTGGGTTT